TACAATTCTTAGTCCTTGGTATTGTTCGAATTTTCTTAGCATAACTCTCTCTTGCTAAGGACATCAACAACGACTTTTGCTTCTCCAGGTGATAGCACTTTTCCAAGTCATATTCAATTTTCATCCCAACAAAGATATCACAAGCTCAAGACCAACTTGGTGAAGATGTCCTGTAGATTCTTGTGATCCTCCTAGATGTCACTTGTACTTCCAAGGAGATAGTACTTTCATGCTCCACAATGGGTAACTTCAGATAACTTGTTAGGTAGTTCAACTCACGCTTCCTTAGTTGACTTAATGAACAAGTCACTTCTTTGGGTATCACCACGCTTCCGCTGCGCAAACTAGAACGTACGCTACTTCATCTTACAGATTCTTCAACTTGGCTACCCCCCTTAAGATAAGATACACTAGGGGACACCAAAGTATAGCTTACATCTACTTCTTTTAGATGAGCTAACTTGTATCAAGATGTTCTGACATCCCAACGATACTCTTGTGTAAGGGCAAGAAACCTTCCACAGCCTTCTTATATAACACTTTTCCAAATTCTGCAGTTAACTTGGTCGAAAACAGTACACAACAGAAACTACTCCAGATTCCAAACAGCACAGATGCATCATCTTGTGATTTTCGTATCTCCATAACCAAAATAGCTATCAAGTTGATTCTTGCGCTCAGAGAAAGATATTGAAGTGTACTATTGTCCAAAATTGTCTCAAGATTTTTTTTGGTCATCGAAAATCAGAGATATAAGCCGAAGAGTGGAGACTGCTCCGAAAAGACAGGATAGAAGAAAAAAAACAGAAGAAAACCAAAACCCAACTATTTATTTCATTAATCCTTATGCCTTAGACCTATAACTAAATGAAATTGTGGGAACACCCAACAAGATCATTGCAATCATTACAAAGATTCAAAACAATCATAAGCATAATGACAATTCAACAATCAATAGAGATGCACAACTCAATCTTTGACTCAACTTGCGATACTATCGTCCTTATTATACTAGGGGTAACAATCTGAAGACTCATCTTAGGATTACGCAAGAAGGTGGTAAGGAGAAGTTCTAAAAGCATATCAGATCAAAGAGTGAAGATAAGAACAAAGACTTTAAAATAAGCACCAAGGTAGAGATGAATAGCAAAGGTAGAGATATAGTATTGAAGAAAATATCAAGGTTCATAGAGCAAGGGTTTTTGAAGCAACATCTAAACCTTAAAACGACCAGTTTCTAACTAGGCTTGCGTCCTACAGTCAACACTGCTTTGATACCAATTTGTCACACCCAATTTTAAGGATAAAATTGAATGCACTAAACTCATGTGTGCCCAGAGATCAGTCACACACATAAGTTGACAAATTATAAAAAGTATCATCACGGTGTAACTTACATAACGAATAATAGCATCACATTGTCTTACATAACACAGCGGAAGATAAAAAGGTAACTCTCTCGTGGAACTCCATCACAGGGACGGTCGACTGGTTAACCACAAGCCTAATAATCCTCAGGAAACTCCTCATATCCGTTGTCATCTGTTACCCATCCGGGATTTTTATCCAAATATGGAAAGTAAACAAGCGTAAGTACGTCCCGTACTCAACAAGATAACATGGGGTTATGAAGCTCAAAAAGATTGACACTGGTTTACTGCAGTTAGCACTTTTAGTAAGTCAAGATTTTATCATCAACTATTATCAAGTTATGCTTAAGCTCCCATTTAAACCCACGTGATCATATATCCGATCCAATTGAGTCATGTGACATCATCATAATCATCTCGTATAAACAACATTATAAGTAGCCATCTATTCGTGAGTTTTCCGACGCTCAGTCGTAATCAGTGAGCACTTTGTTATAACATTTGTTACCCTCTGCAGAGGTGGTGCACATTCACCATGAGTCGTGATCCCCATATGCGGGTTAATTACTCCCATGTCACTTTCAAGGTGAGCAGGCGGGGTACACTATGAAGCCATTTCATAGGTTTCCCTAACAAGTTAGGGCCGCTAGGTTTTCTTGGCGGTGCGGATGTAGGAACCCCCTTTCCTATGGCACATATCCATCATGGCTATACACATAGGAACAGAGGCAGCCCTATACCCAACGTGACAAGCCCCATTTGCGCCAAAAAAGGTAACCTCTAACTAGCTAGAAAAGGTCCTATTATCTGAGCTAAAGTCGAGCCATATGACTCTCCTGGTTGCCTTTGTCGGGCCCACTTTTTTTGCCGACAGATAAGTCCTTATGGAGGGCCGGGAGCAACATGAACAAAGGTCATTTGCACTTTCGCCCTATGGAGCAGTTGTTATAAATCATGTTACTCACTTTGTTCCATAGTATCATTCATCAACAGGTATATCAAGTTCAGTTAGAGCACTAGCAATCTACCAATATGCATTTAACCCATAGGAGACAAGGAACAGGATAAACAATCACTAGGATGTCCTTACGGGCATCAAGATTAGACACATGCAAATGAGTAATTGATTAAAGTGAATTAGGACATCAAGGAAGGCCCATGTTATACTTGCCTTGGTTCACAAACTTGTCTTTGGTCCCCTTTGGTCGTCGAAGAGTTCTTGGTCTCCAACGTTTTCCTCACCGTCTGAACGCGACCAACACGGCAACATACAACATTCCAAAAGCATTCATGCAAAGCAAACATTCCTATAATTAGAACAGTACACCAACAGTATTGAAAACAAGATAAAATATTTGTAAACATATTCTACGTCTCGCTACGATCACGTCAACGCGAAGTTCACGAAAAACGGAGCTAAAATGCGAAAGTTATGATTTAAACGGGTTTTCCTATAGCCATATATTTAATTAAATCTAATTATGAAATTAAAAAGTTCCAAACTTGACTAACAGTAGTTCTAACATGTAGCTTATGAAATTACGAAGCTAACGCGATTTGAATGGATCAATTCGGAGCTAAAACGACAATTTTATAAGCGAAACAGTTCAAATGGCATTTCTGTAAATACTGAAAGCATACTTTTGACTTAAACCGTGGAGTTTACGCTTTCTAATCTAGATTGCGCATTCGAGGAAATACGTTTTGGGCTGCGGGTTAAGACTTAGAAAAGTACAGGGGCTCTTATGCAAAATCACCCATGAAGGATATCGGATGTTCTCGGTGTTGGATTTAAAATGGACGGATCGGATTTGATCGAGAGAGAGAGAGATGAAGGTGGCTTCAGGAGCAGGTCACCGTGCCGAAGCGCCATGGCGGCGGCGTGAATGAGGACTCGATGCATGCCATGATTAGGGCCTACGGTTCACCAAATTGACCACCGAGGGCACCGGTGAGCTTGAGGGGATGAAGAGGGTCATGGCCATGCCGTTCTGGTGGCCGGAAGAAGGGGGGCTAAGCGGTGGCCGCCATGGCGGCGACCATGGCTCATGAGCTCATGGCCAAGGCACGGGAAGCCAACAAAAGCGAGAAAAAGGGATCTGGGAGATAGAGGGAGGACCATGAAGCTCACCTGTGGGAAAAAAAAAAGAGGCGGAGGCGGCTCAGAGGAGGCTGTCACATGAGGGGCGTCGCCGAGCTCGGAGATCCCGGGCGACGGTTGCTCAGAGCGAGGGCTAGGCCGGAGCCCAGGCCAAGTAGGAAGGTGAGGGGCTCGGCTCCTATTTATCGAGGTGAGGCCCGGGGACGCTCCCACCGACCGGGCGTGGCGTGGCGATTGTCAGTGGCCGGGTCCCAAGGCGCAAGGAGGAGGTTGAGGGCAGCCTGACAGGCGGGGGCCAGTTGAAGCAGCAGAGGCTTGGTGAAAGAAGCATGTGGCGATTCTTGTGAAGTGGGCCAAGGGAACGACATGTGGTGGGCCGACTCCTTCTTTGGGCATGTGGTGGCAAGTTCTTGCAGTGCACAAGGGAGGAGGAGAGGGAGCTGGGCAAGACAAGGAAGGGCTGGGCGAAAAAGAGAGGAAGGGAAGGAATGGAAGGAAATTTCCTTGTTCTTTTTATAAATAAAATTTTTCAATCTCATTTTCAAAAGGTTTTTAAAATCTTTTAGCATTTGAAACAAAACCACCCATCACAGAAATAAATATGCAACAGCATGAATACATCAACATGTTTCTATCCTTGTATTTATTTTTTTAATTTCATAAAAAAATATTATTTCCTAAGTTCAAATTCCCACAAAATGCAAAATTAATCACTTTTCTCCTTTTTCAAAAATATGCAAAATTTAGGGTGTTACAGAGCGCCTAAATTTTGAGAGAGAATTCCTTCTATCCCATTAAAAATTCCGAATCCCTTATATGACATCTCAAGTTTACGATTCGTGAAACCCAATTACCAATGTACAAAAGGTGTTTTGCTCAAAAAAAAAAGTACAAAAGGTGTTGAATTGTTTTTTGAATTTCATATGAAATTTGTGGACAACCATTGCAGCTATTTATCTATCTATCTATCTATAGAATATAAAAGGTGAAGAAAAAGAGAAACCGTGCACCATCGATCGATAACGAAAAGGGTGAAAAAGGAGAAAAGCCAATGTCGGGCCCTGTTCAGTAGTGTGTGGCCGTGCGGGTGACTGGGTGAGAGAGCACAGAAACGCATATGGGCTGGACCCCACCCCGCCCCTCGCTCGCCACTTCGGCAATCGGCATACCCTTTCCCAAATCCCAATCAACGTCTTGTTTAGATGTCATCCAAATTTTAAGTTAATCCTATCACATCAATTTTTAGTCGTTTGTATGGAGTATTAAATATAGATAAAAAAAATAACTAATTACATAGTTTAGTTGGAAGTTGGAAATCACGAGATGAATCTTTTGAGTCTAGTTGATCCACGATTGGACAATATTTATCAAATAAGACAAAAATAATACTATTCATCGGTTCACTTTTTTTTACAATGTGAACGAGGCCCAACTCAGCCCGTCCTCCTTATCTGAATCGCGTGCCTTGCAGCCCTCTGCCCGCTGTGCCCCACGCCCGGCGCCCCGCCCCGCCCTCCCCTCCCAGCGCCATGTCCCCCGCGGCCACCGCGTGCGCCACGCCGGCGGCGGCGCGCCCGCCCCTCAACACGGTCCCGACCCGCCGCTCGCCGCCCTCTGCCGCGCGCCCGCCATCGGCCACCCCCGCCCGCCGCGCCGCCGGCTGCTGCTTCTGCGCCGCCGCCGCCTCCTCCAACTCCTCGGCATCGTCGCCCTCCACCTGGGACTGGACCCGATGGAGCCGCCACTTCGACGAGGTCGACCAAGCCGAGAGCTACGCATCTCTCCTCCAGGTAACCGCCATTTCATCGTCTTATAACTTCTAATCGAACCAATCTGATGAATCGCTCCTTCTTCTCCGACCGCGCAGTTCCAGCTGGAGGAGGCGGTGGAGAACGAGGATTTCGCGGAGGCCGCCAAACTCAAGAGGGACATCATAGAGGCCACCGGAAACGACGCCGTAGCCCACGTCATGGCCGAGCTCAAGGTCCGGAACTGTTTTGTGCTGCCTGACATTCTGTTCCATTACCGATCTTTTAATTGAGATGTTCATCTTTCCCCACCTATTTGGATTACGATCTTCTAACTACAGCATTTGTTCTGTTTGGCTGCTCTTGTCCTTCTAAATTCTCGCAGAGTGCTATAGAGGAGCAACGGTACCAGGGCGCGTCGAGGTTGACAAGGCTTGCTGGGACCAGCTTGGTAATTATCAATCCATTACTGATTACTTTTTCTCCGTACCTTTTGATTGCGCCATATGCATTCAGGGGGCAGAATCATTTGCCTTTTAAAGTCACTTATTGCACATCCCATCCTAACCAAACTGTTTATATGGCAAATCGCTAATCTTATGCTAACATGGTAATGGACCTAATAAAAAAGCATGACCCATGATAGATGATATTGCTCCTTGACCTTTGGTTATTTAAAGAAACAGGTATGACCAGCCAAAACCATCCATTTTCATAAGGAAAAGCTCTGGATTCTAACCATTTCCATTTCAGGTAGGTTGGTGGGTGGGATATGCTAAGGACACTGATGATTCCATTGGGAGAATCGTAAGAATAAGCCCTGGTGTCGGGAGATATGTGGCCAAGAGCTACAGCCCAAGGTGCGTCTCTCTCAGTTTGTAACTTAATCTTAAAAGTCAACATCAGACAAGCATCTAATATTTTGTACAGTTCCAACTTACAAATGCTTGTTTTTGTGTAGGCAATTGGTCACTGCATCTTCAGGGACTCCATTATTTGAAATTTTCCTTGTCAGAGAAGATGACGAGACATATACAATGAAGGTGCACTAATCGAAGTGATTTCATCTTTATCATAATCTTTACGCAGTTAAGAAAAGTAGAAGAAAACCTCTGTTGTGCACAGATTTGATATATGTATTTATGAAAAATTAGACAGGTGGTACACTTGCGACCAACAAAAGGAACTTCAGGTGCATCATCCATATCATCAACAATAACAGAAAGCCCAGCAAAGGTAGAGAATGAAAGTTCATCAGAAAGTAGTGCTATATCTGACAGTATTACAGAGGAGGCAAATACAGACACTCCAGTAAAAGGAAATGAGGATGCTGAAGAGAAAGAGCAAGATGTTGGTAGCAGCAAGGATAGTAGTGTCGAAGGATTAAAAAGTGTTTTGAATTTTTTTAAGTCTCGAATTCCGGAATTCAAAGTTCAGGTGATAAATGTTGATGTGTCTGAGGAAACTGAATTGGCTGCAAATTTGTCCGAAGAATTAGCGCAAGATGATGTGAAGAGTACTCCAGAAAGCTCATTGGAAGAGCCAACCACTGAGGAACTTGAGCAGGAGGAAGATGTTCCAGAAGAAGATATGGATGAAGAAAGTAAAAGTACGGAAGTGAAGCTTTTTATTAGTGGAGTAGTTCACAATAAAGAAGATGCTGGAGCAAAATCATATGTTCTGAGTTCCAGCGAAATAAATAACATGGAAAAAGACTCCTTTGAACTGTACATTCCTGGAAAAGGTTCTGATCGTGATCTGGCTGAAACAAAGGCTGCAAAACAGAAAGTTGCAGATATGGCTGCTAAATTAGCCTCAGAGCTTATGCCGTCTGATGTTGCTAAGGCATTATGGGGTACAACCAAGAGTTCTTCAAAGGTAGGAATGGCATGGTTTAGCTATACATGTCTGCAACTTTGAAAGATTCGTGAATTACAATTTATACTCATGTGCATCAATGCTTGTTCACAGTTGGGTGAAATCTTATAACCGAATTACAAAAATCCTGAAATTTTCTAAGGCATTAAAGGCACCCAGATCCTAAAGGTGCTTGTTTAGAAACTTTTCAAGTCTTATGTGATGTACAGCTATATCAGTATCTTGCATGTCTTCCAGAATAAGGAAACATGATTGTTTTGCCCTATATAAAAAAAAGGTCAAGAAACTGGGTGGCCTGAGCAACTGGCTGGACGCTTGTTCCAACAACCTGATGGTTTCTGGATTTGGAACCTTAACAAAAAGAACTAGTAATTACTATTAGCACCAATTGGTATTAATGATCTTATTATTTCCACCGTAGACTGTGTTTTTATCTGATTCTATGCTGTCAAGATCACCTTCCAGTTGCCCATTTCATCTTATGCCAGGCGGCTTCTCTCATGCTCCATACCATGTTCTTGCAAGCAAGTTAACTGACAGATGGCATTGTAACTGCAGATAAATAAAGAAGTTCAGGAGCTTTTAAGGCTTACGTTAAGCAAGGCCCAAGTCAAGCTGACCGAGAATACCATTTTTAATCGGATCATTATGGACACTAACAGCACAGATCCATTTAATGGTAAAGTTTCCCCAGTTAAGTTGATGATCATTTCTTGTATGATCTAACAGTTGGATTGCTGGGCTAATATAGGTCTCTATGTGGGAGCATTTAGTCCATATGGACCAGAAATTGTGCAGCTCCGACGGAAGTTCGGCCACTGGAATAGTACTGATGACGTTGAGTTTTTCGAGTATGTCGAAGCAGTAAAGTTGACTGGTGATCTGAGTGTCCCTGCTGGCCAGGTTTGCAGCTTCTATTTTAAAAAAAAAATGATGTCAATCAGGCTCCCATGATATTCTACTGATCATATATTGTCACAGATAACGTTTCGTGCAAAGATTGGGAAGGGCAAGCGACTTGAGAATCGGGGCACGTATCCAGAGGAATTCGGTGTGGTAATTTCTGTCAACAGATCTGATTGTTTGAAAGATGCTCGGATGTTAGTTTGTTATATTCTGAGAACTGAAAGTCGCATGCAGTTTTTTTTATTCTAATTATACTTTTTTTCCCCCAGATTGCCAGTTATAAAGGTCAGGGTAGAATAGCTCAGCCTGGATTCAAAAATCCTCGATGGGTGGATGGTGAGCTGTTGGTGCTCAGTGGCAAGGTAAACTGAAATACCTATGGTGGTTCTTTTCATCTGTAGTCAACATTCCTGAAACTGATAACTAAGTAGTACATACAGGCATAATGTACAATCTGGCAGGCCATAACTTACAGTTTGGTCTGCAGTGAGATTCCTTGGGTTGGTTTTTGGGAACTTGTAGAGTAGAGAATTGGATACATACTTTTAGAACATCAACTTATGTCACCAGGAGACATGCTTTAGAATACTGAATTAACTGAAGAATATTATGAGCTGTCTTGACTAAAGGAAGAAACTTGGAGATTTGCCATTATGAAAGGTGGGCTTTGGACCGAGAAATTTTGTACTAGTATTCATTGGAGAATATTGAGTGCAATTCATAAGAGAAGTGGCAGTAGCTTGGAATGGAATAGCTCATTTATAGGCCATCTAGCAAAGTTTGTCTCAGATCATTTTATGGAACAAGTGACTCCATTTTCCCCCATCGTTTCTTAGGCTATCAATTCTAAAAGTGCCTTCCATTGGTCTAAAAGATGTGATCCTGGTGCACCACGTTTTTTTTTCTGGTACTATTGTGCAAATTCGAAGAATTGCATGAAATGTTTGCATAGCAAAACTAGTGTCAACTACTCCATTCCAAATTCTAAGTCCTTTTTAGATACATAATCAGTCTATGTATCTAGACATAGCAAATATTTGGGTGCATAACAAAAGCTAGTTATCACTAAAAAATCAAAACAACTTACAATTTAGAATGGAGGGAGTACTGGAGTAGATCCTGCCAGTAGATTTTGAACTATTTATGCAACTTGCAGTTTCGGTTGTGTCCATCATTGGATCTGGTCTAGTTGCAAGATTGCTCTTAACACGAATGCATATTTTATTTTGTAGAGTACAATCCCACACCTTGGAGGCGCAGAGCTCGGTTTCCTGTACAGCTTACCTGAGCAGAGTTTTCTGGTTCTCTTCGATCGGCTTAACCTTCCCGAGTGATGAGACTCGTCAAAGGAGCAGATTCCTCACATTAGATTAGATTGCATGAACGCACAGAAGCCAGCGTCCGAAGTGATCGAACAGGTCTTCGGGCCCTTTTTCCATGGTCCTCTGGGCTTCCTGAGATGCCTGGCAAAGTGCCAATCTTTTATCCGCTCCTACTCGGCAGGAGCTGATCTGCTTAAACTCTTTTCAGAGTGTGAGGGAAAGCTGATCTCGTTGCTGGTCTAAATTAACGGATGAGCCTTAATATGTTATAGCATGGTATGCTCCCTAATGACACAGTTATAGCTGTATTGGGTATGAGCATGACAGTTTTGTGAGTTTCCCCCCGTCGTCGTTGATTACAGTAAGCTAGGATGGAAACCAAATTAAACAAAATCGTTCTGGTGTATCGTGATGTTACAGATATAATAATATAATAATAATAACCAGGCAAATAAAGTCTCATGATTTATGATGACCCATCAATCATTTCGTTTTCCACTCTTTGTAATATGGTCGAGATACTTTACTGCTGTCCTATTAGATTTTGATATTGAGTTGTGCAAAGTCTGGAAATGAGGAAAGTGAAAACATATGGTCGAGATCCTTAGTAGATTTTGACTTGTGGAAAGTCTGAAAAAGAGGAAAGTGAATATGAAACGGAATCAGATTTGCTTGTTAGTACAAGCGTCGCCTCGTAGGCGTTATTAGCTACCAAAAAGACAACAGTTCGCATGATTTATTTTTTCCGTTGCTAGGACTCGAACCCGAGAAAAAAAAAGTTCGCGTAAAAGAATTTCCCGACTCGAACCCGGGATAAAAATTTATTTTCCGTTGCCTGGACTCGAACCCGGGTCTCTCGGGTGAGAGCCGAGTATCCAAACCAGCTAGCTAGACAACCACGGATTGTAGCATGATGTGTGCATCAGACCTATTTTTGAGGGATAAAATAGGAATGGGGGTGCCATCTTCTCATTGTACATGTCGCGCTCGGAATGAGTTTGAATTTAGAATGGATAAAATCTTTCTGGTTCGTTTTTTTTTTATCAAAGTAGCCAGACTCCCAGATTCAGTACGTACCTTTCAAGTCTAGTTTATATCCCATAGTGGTAGATCCAATGTTCCTCAAGGTCATGTAGTGCAACATCCACATAGTTATTCCGTCATCACACATGATACATTTCACAACTTCCACCAATTAGACACAGAAAATAGCCGGGAAAGCAACGCGATATATAATAAGATGAAAATGACAACCCATCATTTCATCTTTAGCCTTGGTGCAAACATATCACAGTTGGATCATTCCGATTTACAATTTCCAGGTTGCCATGCTTGCGGTGATTGACGATTCCCTGCATCTGCATGCCATGCCTGTGCAGCGGCATGTAAAATCAACAGAAAATCGTGTTGCCCTGACCAGCAGTCGTATATGCACCATGTCGAGCATCCACGATGCAGTGCAAACATATGATGACACTATGACAGTGACACACACGTAGGAAACAGTGACAAGTACACCCATACAGTTTTGGGGTGTTAAGGAGGCATTCATTATAATTTACATATATCAAGCGTTTCTGAGCTCTTGACCAAAGGGCACCAGTTCCAGGTCGCAGGGAAAGGGAACCAGTTTCCGTGTCTGAGCTCTTGACTAAACCACCTGCATCTGCAAACCACCTGCATCTGCATGAGCTGGACATTTGCAAAGGGACCACGGGGATGAGCAAAAGTAAGGAGTAGATCATATTAGAGGGTGACAGGATGGCCACATTGACCTTTGCAATTCCTGGGAGGGTCAGTGTAGGTCACTACGTACCTAATACTGTTCAGAAAAGGTAACCCGTAGCCTTCTAGTGTGACGCATTCCATCATCATGGGGTTCACAGTTCACTGCATACTGTGAGATTTTACGATGTTTAACATTCAGATTTTCTACTTGTAAAAACCTGAGTCATCAAGGGAGCGCTTCTGCTTTTCTCTCAACAGTTCAGCATGGTCATCACCTGGAATTCAGCATCAGCAATAAAGCTTGCAAGGCCAGCAACTGAAAGGTGTGGCCTGAATTCTGAGTCCAGCAAAATGTTTGATGACTTGAAATTCTTATGGATGATGAGGGATGGAGAATGTATTTCAGGAAGGTACCTGCTAATAACATTTCAATGGGAAATTATAAGTGTCTACACATTTCAAAAGGAAAATAGAATGTTAGCAGCTCAATATTTATTGAAGCATGTTCTTAAATCATGTGTAATATTTGACAACATTTAACCAACAATACAGATTCCAACAGAACTAAAAAAGAGTAAACAATATGAACAAAAAGTCTTTGCTGGGATATCTCTTATTCAATTATCTGAAAAATGTTAAACATGTAGATTTAGTATTATAATCCGCCTATGTTGTCTCAACATAGCAGGTCCCAAGCTCTAGTAAAGGAGAAGGGTTGTGATAGGCGTGGCGAACCAACGTTAAATCTAGCCATTCTAATGGAGATAAAACCCGAAAGAAAATCGTTGGGGGCGTAACCCTCTTAGCGACGCGCCATATCGGAACCCGGGTATGGTGTTAAATGGGCAAGGGCCAGGTCGACACCCCCTTGGTGATGCGCCATGTCGTGATCTGGGCATGGTGTCAAGTGAGCAAGGATCGGATCGTCGCTTCCTTAGTGGCGCGCTACATCGACGCCCGGGTGTAGTGAAAAATGAGTAAGGGTCTTCACATCTGAGTCGACGGGTGCGAAGGGTAAGAAAGCTAGTCGAACCAACTAGGATCCATTTAGGTAGTTGGAATATAGGGTTGTGTTGACGTTGAGGATGACCCCAAATCAACACACCAGCAGGGCCTTGGACGCCCAAAGAGGCTGCACACAACCTGCAACGCAGCAAGAACGCGGCGTAATCGATCAAACCAATCTGAAGATCAGTGAGACCGATGTAGAGCTTGTTCTTGGCCGGAAAAGCTCCCGAACTTCTCCCGGGAAGACCCGTCAGGGAAAAGCACGTGGAGGATCTCCTAGGACCAGCAAGGCCGCCTAGGATGCCGCTGAATCTCGCCGGGAAACTCAACGAACAGCAAGAGGGGTTGAGAGAGAGGAATTAGGGCATAAGGAGTTGATAGATTGGTTTGTATGACGATTGGATAGATGTGAACTCAATCGGCCATGATCCTCTCATATATATAGAGGGGGTGGTCTTATTCCAGTAGGAAACCTCTCCGAGCCTTATTTTCCAAGTTTTCCACGAGTTTGGAACAGTTCAGATCGGAATCCAAAAGGCCAGATCCGAACAGGATTTTCTGTCAGGTATGTCGGAAGTCCAGTCGGAAGTCCCGACTTGGGTCGGAACTCCCGACAGTCGGAACTTCCGACTTTTGTCGGAACTCCCGACATAGGGATAACCCCAGACACCCGGGCAGATTTCTTCAGACTTCCCGGAAGTCCCGACACACGTCAGAACTTCCGACAGTCGGAAGTCCCGACTTGGGTCGGAACTCCCGACAACGAGGCATCTTTACGAGGGCATAACTTCTTCATCCGGACTCCGAATTAGACATTCCATATATGTTTTTTGACCATCTCGACGAGAGGAACGTAATGGTGAAGTTCGTTTCACATGTTTGATAACTTCACAAAAATGAACATTTTTGGTTGTCAACATATGCCCCCCTGTTTTCAAGTGAATGATGCATAAACCTGAAAACACTTAATCAAATAAATTAAAACCAAACAGCGATGATTCCCATCTCATCGGCTGCTTAGTGGCTAAGGGCGATGTATACATCGGCCATTTTTCTAAGGGCGATACATGTATCGGCCATTGTTTGGTGAGCACTTAGGCTTCTTGCCAAACATTTGGAAAATACCTTTTCAAGTACCTCCCGTTGAATGCTCTCGTGAGACGTTCACCTTGCAATGTCTCTAGCACATATGAATTTCCGAATATAACTTTGACCACTTTGTAAGGACCTTCCCAATTCGGTGACCACTTGCCAAACTGATTGCTCTTCGATCCAATTGGTAGTATGGTTTTCCACACCAATTCTCCCACTTGGAAGGATTTGCTCCTGACTTTCTTGTTGTATGCTTTGGCAACTCGAGCTTTAAATCTCACATCAGTCACCTCATCGATATTATCCATCATCAAATCATGATACACAACAGCTGATAAATCATTTTGTTTAGCAAGCCTGTATGCATCCAAATTTACTTCGACAGGCAACACGGCCTCTTGGCCATATACTAACTCAAAAGGAGTAAACTTTGTAGCACCATGCCTTGAAATGCGATGTGCCCATAGAGCCTCAGACAAAACTTCATGCCATCTCCTTGGATTCTCCTCAATTTTCTTTTTGATGAGCTTGATCAAAGTCTTATTACTAGACTCAGCTTGGCCATTGCCTTGAGCATAGTATGGAGATGAATTGAGTAACTTGATCTTATATAATTCGATAAATTCCCTCACCTCTTTAGACACAAACGATGTCCTTTGATCTGTTGTTAATGTTTGAGGGATGCCGAATCTATGAATAATATGCTCAGTAATGAACTCAATTACTTCCTTGTGTGTCATATTCTTCAAAGGAACTCCCTCGGTCCACTTAGTAAAGTAATCTGTAGCAACTAACACAAATCGGTGTCCCTTCGAAGATGGGGGATATATTTGGCCAATGAAGTCTAACCCCCAACCATGAAAAGGCCATGGTTTGATGATAGGATGAAGCACAGCAGCAGGCACAAGCTGAATATTCCCAAACTTCTGGCACTCTTCGCAACCTTTATAGTAGCGAAAACAATCAGCCATCATAGTAGGCCAATAGAAACTGGCTCTACGCAATAACCACTTCATCTTCAGGGCCGATTGATGCGTACCACAGATGCCTTCATGGACTTCTCCCATAGCCACTCTTGCCTGATCTGATCCCAAGCACTTAAGCAGCAAATCTTCGGCGGTTCTTCGATAGAGCTCATCATTATGCAATACATATTTGAAAGCGCTCCGCCGAACACTTTTATC